CCAGTCCAAGCCATATGATGAGACTACTTCTATGCTTTAATATTTGCATTAGAGTGAAATATAGAGGTCTTTATCATGTGCTAGTGCCTTCATAGTTATACATTCAAAGACAATCTGTGTCCCAAAGTTTGGGTAGAACAAATGATGTACTTAATTACTTACATTAAGAAACTTAAAATCAACTTGACAGTTTGTCTTGCAATAATGTAATGTTGGTGTGGGACTTCCACAACCCAGAATACATGGTTTACCCAAGAATCACACAACCCAGATTTTAAACATTCTGAGCATACTTTTCATGCTGTGAAGAAAAGACATTTATTTATATCAACAATAGATGATAACTGCTATAAAGGTTTAGGTCTAGATGGCTCAGAATTCATTTCCACAACATTGGCCATAAAATATTCTCACTAGATTATGTGGTGTTCAAACTTTGGGAGCAGAGTCCTATAAGTGTTTGACCACAAGTGCACTGCTGTAGCTGGATGTGAGGGAATGGCAGCTGTAACAGGACTAACAGTAACCCTGTCATATTGTCACACTGTCTTTACCCCTAAGGGTTATCAGCTCGGAGGCATCTCATAAGACTGCAAAACCCTTCGCGATACCATGGGGGATACACACTTTCAGAGTGCATCAGAAACATGTGAGAAGCTATGAAACTTTCTTTTTCATATCCAATATGACTTTCCTTGAGTACTAATGGTATTTTATCATAGATAAAATTTCTAATTTCCGATAAAAACTTCACTTTCACATGGCCAACAAGATAAAATTTCAATCACTGAATACAACTTGCTTCCAAGAGCAGTTCACCATTTTCAAGGGGAAAACAGCGGTTTTCATCTTTTCCACTACACCATGCAAAGAGAACAAAAGGTAAGTGGGATTATTATGTATCATGTCTTCTTTCTGTCATGAATAAATACCTTTGGGTATCCAACTGAGGAATGTATGCAAGTCTACAGATGATGAAAACATCACATTTAGATGAAAATCCTGTTCTAGTTTTGTTCTGTTGCACTTTTAGACCTGTAATTGGCCAGTTCACGTGCTATGGAAGCAGTTAGAGTAGCAGAATGTAAAACTTAGTGCTCTACCTGAAGATTTGGTGGAAAGTGGGCTTTAAAAGACAGATCATCTCTGGAAAACATCACTCCCTAAGCCAGAAAGGAACTAATTCTTCAGGGATGCAAAACTCGCCAAGCATTGGAAATCCTATGCCATACAGAACAAACAACTGGCATCTGCTTCAGCCAGTGGTTTCTAGCTGTGCTTTTTGTATCGAAACATTATGGTTGCACACAGAATACAAATCGTAATATACTCCCAATTCCACCTGATTTCCAGAAGCTAAGCTGTATGAAAAAAAGCTAACAAGGAAAGTGAATGTTTTTCTGATGTTAAATTTATCCACAAGCAGTTTTGCCCCCCCCAGAGGTTTTGGCACTAAATCATAGAATTCCTAATCTACAGAACTGGGAATGAAATGCAAAGTGACCTCACCTGACCAGTGATCTTCAGACTTGTGAAAACTTTTAGCTTAAACAGTTCAAAATCAATCCTCCATCATATTCACTGCAAAAATCATTTAACTGGTTAATAATTTATTTTCATTATACTTATCAGAATCTTACTATTTTCATAGCAGAGCTTTTCACGTGTAAAGACAGTTTCCTCACTTCTAACTCGAGCAGCACAGAGTTGACTCATTTTTGACCATCAGACCCGAAAACTTCTGCTCACTAATGAGATGAACTATTTTCTATGCACCTCTACCTTTGTATGGACATTTACACCTGTGAGTAATGAAATCAAAACCATTCCAGTTCAGAGGGATGGCCAGCATATATTTAGTACTGGAAGGAATTGAAACAGACAATTGTATAAGTTGCAGGTAAGGACAGTCACACTGAAAGAAAGCAAGCGGCTGAAGCAATTTACAGAGACATTACTACTGCATCTGCCACACTGTTCAACCACAACTCCAAGCTTTTATATAAAAGGCCAAATCTAGGCAATTACTTCATAAAGAATGTATGCTTACTTTGTAACATTTCTTCTAACAGATGATACTTTTCTTCAAGTTTACTGTTATTCAAAGTGTTTCAATAAGCTGATCAACAAAAGTGTTCATTGCAACTTGAAATGTCAAAAATGGCATAGTTTTGCAGTTGCAACTTTTGCAGTTGAGTTTTGTGTGGGTGTTCATGTAAAAGAAATTTGAAAGTTGCCCTCAATGTGTGAAGGAATTAATAAAGATCTCTGTATATACACTTGTAAAATATAAATGCAGCAATAACAGAAAATTGATAGAGAAGTTTATGAATAAGATTAAAATTAACTATTTTTGAGTGGGTATTCAAGTATTCCTTCAATTATAAAATTTCTCAATTCTATTTAGTTCTGGGAAGTGATGGAGAAAGACAGTCTTTCAGAAAAGAAACATCCATGTTGTTTAATCTCCAATTAAAACTTAATTTCTCTTATGCTTGAAGGAATATATATATGGAATATACACAACAAACTGTTTCAGTCTTCTTAAGAAACTTTTTTTTTATTACTAAAAGAAAGAAGAGTTTCATGACGTATATTTTTTAACATAAGCAACACCCTAATTTGGTTATCACATCTGCTGTCTAGGTGAGAGAAGTGTTCCTGTAGTTAAGTCCCAATAACGGGAACAGGAGAACTGGATTCTGTTTTTCACTTTGCTAAGGCTATAAAATAAGAGTTTGGACAATTTACATCGCAAGTACAACATTCAGTACTGCAGCATTTGATTTTGAACAAGCTTCCATATCCTTAATGTTGATCCCTAAACTTCCTGTACAGTGAAGTCCTTCATCTTCTGATTTTGCTTGCACTCACTTGGCTACAAGAGTGATTTGAAACAGACCGGAGTCTTCCCTCAGTGACTGGGAAATCTCTACTACAGCTATACCACAGAATTTATTGTGCTGAAACAATGTGACTGTTTCCCAGTTCAGTTTCAGAACACACCTGCACAAAGAGCTGTTCTGGCCCACCGTGCCACAGCAACAGGAATGAGTGACAGGACTATAATCACCCAACATTGCCATGAGTGAGAAAAGAGTAAAAAAAAATCAGGGAGGAGAAAAAGCCAACCTTAAGAGTGCATCTCAAGCCCACTCTTTCTTAGGAGTTAATCTCTGGTCTCCTGTACTATGGACCGTTTTTAGGGATTAAAACTGCCGTAATCAACCTTTCCATGATATAGTGATAATCTGCACATACTTGAGCAGAAACTACAGTACGTTCCCAAGCAAGACAGCCAGGCTCAAAGCTCACATATGTGCTTAAAAGGTACATCAGAAGCATTTATTTAAATTGTCTGCAAAAGTCGCAATCTTGATAATGGGTGCATATGGATAAGCAGTTTTAGTCTTTCCTGTTGCAGTGGTTTCATTGTATATGGAATAGTAAAATACTAAACTGTTCCAGTTATACCAATATTGACTCCAGCCTAGTGATCTCAGCATCCCGCTATTTCAAACACTAATGTTAAAATAACCATAAAAGGTCAGACTACAGTTCTTTTTAGACAATAACTTTTGTCTTGTGAGTGAACAATAGCAGAAAACTACAAAAATCCCCAAAACATTGAGCAAGATAGAGGCATCCCCTGAACACACTTCCAGCCACTAGTAACTTGTAAGTCAGGAACTTTGGAGCCAAGTTGTGCCTGCAAGTTTATTCTTAAACATATTTTCCTCCACAAAGTATTTCCTCCAGCTGTAACAAACACACAAGTACCTTGTCTGCCTCTTTTTTCGAGCTCATGTAAACCTGTTGTATCTGTGATACCTACTAGCAAACATACTGAAGCACTGTTTTATTGAAGCATTTATACAATACACAGCAGTTTCATCAGAAAAGAGTAAAAATATCATAATAAATAAATATATTCAAGCTATATAAACCGAAAAATTAAACATGAACAGAGTAAGTATGCAAGTGTAACCTGGATGTTAGACCAATCTCCTATAAACCAGTGGACAAACTAAACCTATGCACACAAGTATTTTTTGCATTTTAAAAGCTAAATAGCCATAAGAGAACACTTGAAAAGCCTCATAACAAAATCAGACTACAGCAGACACAGAGTGTCTTTTCTGCAGGTTTAGCCCTTTGTCCCTCACCTTCCACATCTGTCATATTTCCCCACTTCAGAGGAGTGTGGTAAGCCTCCACTAATCATCATCCACCACGTAACTTTAAATTCTGTACAAACATTCACAGGCCTAAAAAGGCACACCCTTTTAAGTTTTTGTAAGAACAGATGTTTAGTGAGTGATGACAGTTTTGAAACTCGGGGTGGTGAACACCAGAGCAGTGCAAAGTGTTTTCAGCAAGTTACCCAGAAGCATTTAAAATAAAATAAAATAAAAAATCACTATAGTTTCTTCACTTTCACATTCCTTGTACAAAATGATGACAGTCTGAAAACAAACTTAAGAGCAAAAATAAACAAACAGTCCATGTCCTGTCTGCCATCCTCCCTGCCCCCAGTTAGATAATGTCTTTTCCTCCTCTCCTTCCTGGGTTGTTTTTCTTTTTTTCCCCTTCTTTTCCCTTTAGCCCCACAGCTTCTAACCTCTTTGAGCACTGCAGAGCCCGCGGCTGGGAGCGAGGCGGGGGGGAGGAAGAGGAGGAGAAGGAGCAGAAAGAGAAGGGGGAGAAGAAGGAGGATGAGGAGGCGAGGGTCCCGCCGCCAGCCTCACTGGGGAGCACAGGCGCCCGCCAGGGCCGGGCCGGGCGGCGGGAAGGCCGCCTGAAGAAAGTTTGCGCCATGGGGGATGAGGCGGGGGCGACCGAGGGGACGAGGAGGAGCGGAGGGCGCCTGTCAGAGAAGATGAAAACTGCCGACCGCCCCGGCGGGAGCTGTACCTACCGGCCTCGCCGGTGGGGCGGGGAAAGCCGCCGGGGGGGAGCAGGGAGGAGGCGGGCTGCTGGGCGGTGTCGCCGGAGGGGCCGCGCCCGGCCCCGGCGGCTATAAAGAAATGGAGGCGGCGGGGCGCGGCCTGGCGGCGGTATGACCGAGGTGAAGCTGGCCGTGCTGGGCGGCAGCGGAGCCGGCAAGTCGGGTAAGGCGGGGAGCGGGGGGGCGGTGGCTCCGGTTAACCGGCGGCCTGACTTTAGCGCAGGTCTGGGGGAGGCGCGTCCCGGGTCGGGCGGCCGGGACCCCCGCTAAACCTGGCGTCTGCTTCCCTCCCGCAGCGCTGGCGGTGCGGTTTCTGACCAGGCGGTTCATCGGAGAGTACGCGTCCAACGCCGGTAAGCGCCGCGGGCCGCCGGCGGGCTCTGGGGCGGGAGCGGGGCCGCCGCCATGCGGGGGTGGGGGGTTCGCCGTGTGGGGCCTCCTCAGGGCCGGGCGGTGCGGGCGCCCCGGGGAATGCGAGATTGCGGCGCTTCCAACGCTTTATTCGAACAAGAAATGGGGTAGAAACGCAGTTTCTCGTAACTTCTCAAAGATGTCAGTTTTCGCTTGCTTATCGGCGAGAGTTCCTGATTAAATAGAAGCTTTGAGGACGGGAAAAGGCAAACCATGGTATCTGTGGAGAGATCGCTTAAAGCTCCAGCAGCGCACCCGGCCACGGGGGCTGGCGGAGTGCTCATCGCAAAGCATCTGTGAAGAGACTTAGGAAGAAAAGATAACCGGGCTGCATGTGCGAGGCGTGGGTAGATTATAGTAAGCTCAATCAGAGAGGAGATAAAGAAGAGAGTAAAGAAGTAGACTGGGAAGAAAATAATAATAATAAAAAAAAAAAAAAAACACAACGAAAAACACCAAAAAACCCAACACCTGTTCTCTTGAGTATCTCCTCCTCAGCTCTAGAGGAGAGGTGAAACAGATTATTTATCAGGCACTACTGGTTAATCAAAGCATAACGCAAAGCCCCCTGCTTTTGCGGGAATCCACTGATTTGATAGCTTTGTGGAAAGCCTTGCGGTGTTGAGGATAGAATTTCTCATTCATGCCAGGACAAATATGCTGATCCTTAAGACACTTCTCAGATCTTTGAAGATGGCAAAGCCGAACTTGAACTTTCACTTCCTGGGTAGAAGCAGTATTTAACTCATACACCAACACCTTTGGAAGTGTACGGTACCAGCTGATGGGGCATGAGAAGTTCCAAAACTTAATAAGGAACAGAGATTGCGATCTACCTCACTTTTACTGCTGAAGTGAAGCACTCTTTTTTTCCAAAACCACTTTTTCTACAAAAATTAGAATAGCTTCCCACAATTTCTGTAAACAAAAAAGCAAATAGAAGTACAGAGCTGAATTGCATTGAATATATCCAAATGAACTTATTCTGAAAGTAGTCACAGTTCTACATAAATCCCCTACCCTTACTTGTTACTATACAAACAGACTGAAAAGACATTTTGTGTTCCACATGGCTTATCTAGGTCTAAGCTCTCACATATAAGTTACGTAGTGCTCTGTGCTCCATGTGTGTTCTAAGCTGACTACAGCTAAAAACAGGTTTCCTTGTTCTGAGCCTCAAATACTGAAAGTCTCAGAAAAGGCGTATCAAGTCCCCAGAACATTTTTATTTGTTAAGAAACGTTTGCTGGAAGATAAGTTCAGCTCTATTTCTAGAAAGGAGGAAGGGGGAGGAAAGTGGGAATATGGTTGATAAAATAAAGATCATTCCACTGTTAGTGGAGTCAAAATATTAATTAAAAATGTGTTTAATTATGGAAACCACCAAGGGGCTGCAGATTTTATACCCTGAAATGCTTGGTACTGATAGTTCATCAACAGATGAACTTTTCAGATGTGCATGGAGAATGCTTAAGATTAACATGGTGCTGATAGGGAGATGCTGAGTTCCAGGAATCACTGCCTTTATCTGTGCCCCCATTACACACAGTTTGATGTGTGTTTTCAATCGTGCCAACACCAGTTCTTGTCTCTCTAGTTCAGTAACTCTGAGAGATTATACTGTAAAACAGCCTGCTGACTACTAGTGCCATGAACACAAGTTGGTTACACTTGCTTAGAACAACCTGCTGCTTAAAAAAATAGTGACTGCCTACAGTAGAATTCCCAGGGTTGCTAGTGCTGGTGGGGAGTCCTAAATCCAAGAACTGATGTTAAAGAAATATTTTAGGATCTAGGCTGAGGACATGATCCTGTAAATACTATCAGTCTAATGCTACCTACTATGAGAACTCTTAAATCACTGGATTTCATGGTATATACACATTATTACCATATAATTACTCTTGTGCAGAATCAGAACTTAAATGTAGGCTGTCTTACTACTTTCATAATCCTGAGCCCTGGTATCAAGCTGAATAGTCATCAGCATTTAGCTGATTCTGAGCATTGTGCATCCCCTTTGCCTCTATTTTGGAAGAGGAAAACTAGGGTATGAAAGTATTGATCGCACCAACACTTTGATGGGAATACTGCAGTGAAATGGTGTTGGTCAGCTAAGGGATTGGGCAGCTCAGGTGTTAAGAAATTAGACTTGTTTCCAGCATGTATAAACAAAACAAAAACAAACAAATTCCCACAAACAACAAAAACCCCACCAACAACAAAAAAAAAAAAACTGAACAAAAATAACTCCTGAACACACATTCCTCCCTCCCACCCAAAGAAAAAAAAACAACAAAACCTGCTTCCCCTCAAAAAAAACAAAACCCAAACAAAAACCCCAAACTCCATGAAAAAAATAAACAGTACTGAAGAAACGCTCAGTATTATCCAGTCTCACCTTTGCCGCTTTTTCTTTACACAACTATCCCCAGTCACTAATGCTGGTTTTCTTTGGATACCATCTATTTTTTAGAATGCATCTACACTAAACACTTATGCCTGGATGGGAGGCAGATACACTTGGAAATTTATGACCCTTGTTCACAGGTAAGAATTTTAGAGGCCAAAGAAAAGCTGTTGTTCTTCATCTACCTGTGTAAAGGTAAAAAGGGTCGGGGGGGTTACAAACTATTTGTCTGTTTTGGGAATTTGTGCTTGCTGTTTTTTTGAAAAGACTGAAGTTTTATAGTTGCTGTGTCTCACAACTTCTGAGTACTTTCCCACTTCATAGAAGAAGCCCTTCATTGCTTCGATTTTCTGTAAATCCTTTGCATTTTGGAATGTTACTAACAAATAACTTTTCCCACTTCTGCCTTTTATAGGTAAATACAGAGATAAATTATATGATTATGTGTAGTTTTCTCAAATACCCTAAATGCATGAAATTTAGTTTATAAAGCAAGCAGTTTATTGAATGTCTGCAGTAATGGTCAAAGTAGACAGGCCTGGAAGACTTGCATTCACAGAACAGATCCAAGGAAAGCCATAATGCAGGCTTGTACATGCTGACAGATGAAATTTGATCACAATAAACCACTTCAAAATAAAGTTTTTTGTATTAATTTCTTTCATGATACTACAGGAAGAGAGAACCTTCGGTGCTGTGTAACATGTGCAGGCCTGGGTAGGTCTGTCTCTCTAATCATGCTAGATCACAAGGTTCCCTTTTGGGCCTCTTACCAACTAGGATAATGAGTGCTAAAGCCAAAGCACTGGAAGTCTGACTCAGGCTTAAATTCAAGGACTGAAGAACTTAACCCAGGGAGAACATCAAATGAATCACCAAACAAATCTACCTTTCTAGAGACAAGCAACAGCATTGCTTGTCCCAGGGCAGTGGGGATCCTGAAATAGTCACTGTGCCATGTAACACTGTGGAGTCTTCCTTTGCCATACAATGTTAGAAGAAACTGTTGTGTGGACTTGCTTCCACCTATCTCAGACCCCTTTCCTAAGCCCATCTATAGCTTCCACTTACTGTCATATTAAATCCTGTGGCATGTGAATGACTCTTTATTAAGATACTTGGGAGTGGCCGCTAGCTATGATAAAGCAGATTAGACTACATTATGGGTAGAGAGACTTTGGTTGCTACAGTTTGTGTACCTTTTGGGTTTTAAAGAGACCAGAGATCAGCTGTGTTAACGGAAACTCCTCTTGCCAGCACTATTTGAGCCATCTTGTACCAGTTCTTCCTTGGGAACAAGGCCTAACTTCAGCTGTTTGCCGCTTTCTTCCTGACTTTTTAGTGACTGCAGAGGAGTAGGTAGGGAGTAGTGGTGGTATTGCTGTTTGTCTGATAGGACTGATGATTCTAGGAGGAGTTGGATGGGATATGGAGGCCCAGTATCCCATGAGAGCCAGGGAAGAAAAGCAGGTCCCAAGGGGAGGACAGACTGGGGCAGGAAGTGTTGTCATTATTGTTTCTGTTTCCTGAAATCTTCTTGCTCTCTGATGCTTCCCTCTAGTAACTGGATCCCTGTTCTGAAAATCTCACTGTCCCTTCATCCATCTGGGAAACAGATGTGACACATGCAAGTCACCTTTTCTGCCCCTAAACCCACCACACGGTCTCCAGAGCATTAAAAAACTGTTCTATTAAAGATACTGAAGTCTTCAGACACTTCTGGAATCTTGTTTCATCTTTTCTTTCTCTTGCATCCCCTTTCACTACCAGCATTCAGTCACCATCCTTCATGGTGAGTTACAGCCTTCCCAGTCAAGCTGGTTTTGATACTATAGTGCTGCCCTGATGCTGAACTAATCGAGGCAGCCAGGGTGGGATGTCATTGGAGATTATACATTACAAGTAGCAAAATACTAAACTAGTGAGGGAACAACTTAAACAGTCCTCAGATAACAATTCAAGGTGGGTTTTTCACACAGCAAAAGTAATTTTTTTTATTTTTTCCTAGTCAGCTCATAGTATTTTAACCTATCTTGGGTCACATGGTCTTGCTAACTGCTGCCAATTATCTGCAGGGATAAGCAAATTTAAAATAGTTTTGAAATTACATTCCTTCGCTTAATGGGACAATTTGCAGATGTTGCTTTCTAGAAATCATAAGTGTGACAAGTTTCTTGGGGTCTCAAGTGACTCAAGGATTGGTATAACCCCATTATCACTTGAGTGACTTTTGTCACTCATTTTATTAAAGTCAACTGCAGATTGAAAATTTTTTTTTCTAGCTCTTTAGAAATTTATCCTATGGGTAAATACTGTTTCAGACTTGAACAATGCAAAGAAAAAACAAATGAAGAAACAAAAGAGAACAGTTAAGCTTACTGTAGTCAGAATATTAGGAACATGTACAAACAGAGCTATAACCAGAAACTGCACAAATATTGATGGCTTCTGTATGTTTCATTCTCAAGTAACTCTGCAGAATATTCAGCAAAAGCAGTGGCTGTACAGGTTATGCAATTTTACTGCTTAAACAAAGTGTAAATGTTTCATAATAAATTCGTCAGTGATCCAAAGTGCCATCTGTAGTGATGGTTATTTATTAGGCTCTCGAAGCAGAACTCACCGGAATTCAATGCCAGCACCTAGACCTATTAATACCTTTTGCAATAAAAAATACAACATTCTCACATTCACAGTGACAAAGAAAATGCTCTGAAGTGACAACAGTAACATTCCTTTTGCATGTGAATTTGAACTTCTTTCAGCCACAGCAGGGGAAACTCTCCCTCACAGACGAGCTCCACTGGGCTGATGGATTTATCATTGTTTACGACATCAGTGACAGAGCATCATTTGCATTTGCAAAAGCATTGCTGTACAGGATCCGAGAGACTCATATAGGAGCTTGTAAAAAGTAAGTGGTGTTATGTTGTTTTTTTCCTTCAGCCAACATGCAAAAAAGCTGAGAACGTTTTTGTGAGCTGTAGGCATCCTAGTAGCAATTAAAACCCAGCAGCATCCAAAGGGTATAACACAATACCAACAATAAAGTGCCTGAAGGTAAACTGTGTTGCAAATAGCCATCTATTTCACTGTATCCAAAGCCAAGTACATCAGGATTTTTGTTCTAATTTCTTATACCACTGCTATTTAAATAATTGCCGTAAATCTGTCTGCTGTAATTTCCATGGGTAAAAAGCTGGCATAATCCGTCTATACTTACACTCCCCCGTTCTATTACCAATGGATATGCACCAGTGTGAGGATTAAAGACAGCATTTCCCACAATAAATGGATCTAGTACCATGAATGTATCCCAAACTGCCTTTAGCAGTGACCCCAACATTATCTGTGCACATGGGTGACCATATACTAAGAAACAACTATTTATGTTCAAAAAGAACTGCCAAAATTCCAAGTCAGAGTACATGTGGTAGTGTGTATTCCTGCATCAGTCAGCTTAGGTGCTTTCTAAATAAATGAGAGTGAAATCCTTTCCTTAGAACAGAATTGGAGTAAAAAAAAAAAAAAAAAAACAAAACCAAAACACAACACTTTTCTGTTTTACTCCTGACCTTTCTTAATTAAGGTTTCTCTGGAAGGAGTAATTTAGCAAAAAGCTTGGAATTATGATTCCTGTGTTTTCATCTGAATTATGCCACTGATGCATATCTCTGACTCCATTCTGTTATCTACAAATGGAGATAATGATCAGCTCGCTGCTTTGTGAAGTCCAGGAGCTGACAATATACTCAGCAGTGTAGAGTATGAAAAACTGCAGTGGATGAAAAATACATGAATTCACTGAGTAGAGGAACCAAAATGAAAACTCACTGATAGAGAATAGCTTGTCTGGAAAATCCTTTGACGTTTGACTACAGAAAATGGAAACTAATTCTACCTGGCAAGGTGAGGGGGTTGGTTTGGTCTTTTGGTTTTTTTGCAGTGCCTATTATCCTGAACATACGTACTTTTCATACACACTGTATATAACACAGCATACAGCACAGCACTGTAACATCTGTTCTCTAATGGGAACCTTTTTGATTTCAGAATGGTGGAGTCATCAGTATTTTTGGTTGGTAATAAACAGGATTTATGCCACATGAGGGAAGTTGGCTGGGATGAAGGACAAAAGCTGGCAATAGACAACAAGTGCCAATTCTGTGAACTGTCTGCAGCAGAACATTATCAGGAAGTTGTGGCAATGTTCACGAAGGTCCTGAGGAATATCACCTCCAATTTCAAACTGAAGGAGAAGAGACGACCAAGTGGATCAAAGTCAATGGCCAAGTTAATCAACAATGTGTTTGGAAAGAGAAGGAAATCTGTGTAAAAGATGGTTAGTCTTGAAGTAGGAGCAAGCTGAAATAACAGAGCACAGGCAGCTCTTGGGATTCAGTCAATATCCTCCGAAGATCAATGTCTGAAGGAGTAAGACAGTAGAAACCAAAGGCAGGAGATAGTATGGTCAAGTGGACAGGGTCTAGACATAGGAGACCTGACCTTCTATTTCCAGTTCTACGACAGATTTGCTGTGACTATGTCACTTAAACTCGAAGCTGCTCCTCTCACCCTTTATCTCCTAAGTTCTTCAGAGGAGACTTTTAGTCTGTATTTATTCGACACCAGCACGGTCTTGGATAGAGCTTCTAAGTGTGACTGAAATATAAACGGTTATTTCTAATAAATGCAGCCTTGCTGATTAAAATATTATTTTAGAAATCTGAGAAGTAGTTGTTTTTTGTGCAAGAACACTTGCACTAAAGAAAAGCAAAATACTGCTGCTTCACGTGATAATATATTTGTATTTAACTCAAGGAAGGATGTCTCAGATCCTCATATGCCTAAAGGTGCCTAACACCTGCTGAAATTCATATGAATTAAATGCTTATACACCAAATCTACAAAAGGTATTTATCTGCAAAGCTGCCTTGCAGAGACACCAGAGGTAGGGAAGCAGATAAACAAAGCAGTATTGTCTCCTGTTTCAGTATCTTTTTTTTTCTTTTTTTTTGAGTGATGAAAGAAAGTAGAGAGGGTTGAGGAGGGTGGAAACTGAAATGTTAGTGAAACGTTAGTGAGTCTTGGACTGTTTTGGCAAGTTTATTCTTTAGTGAAATAATTTTATGTCTAGGGACAATGTAAGGCCAGGGTAACATCTTGGGCTGATCCCTTTCACAGAAGTTTTCATAGACTATAACAAACTTTTCTTACCTGTAAGGTGGATGTGCATGTTCAGTTTTGAATGGGAGCGGAAGCTTGAAAAGCATATGGACTGGTAAAGACCACAAGTTCTTTAGGATGTCTGCCTGGATTTAGAAGTCAGCCTGCTGGTAAGACCTGTGCTCCTAACTTTCATGGAGTGTTTTTCCTAAGGACCAATGTCTTTACAACTAGTCATCGCTATGGTATTGAAATGCCACTTGAGAGAGCACTAAGGAATATGTTAGCTACAGTTTTCAAATGTTCATAATAAACATCAGAGGGGTCTAAATATGTTGTTAATGGACATTCAGAGCTCTTACTGTAGACAGCTAAATAAGGGATTAGCCCAGCATGTTTGAAAGTGCTGTGCTCATAGAGGAGTTATGAAAGGGAAGAGAAGTGATCTGAAGATGAATTACTGCCTCCTACCCATTCCAGAGGACAGCTGGGATTCAGTCTTTTAAGCTGCTGAGTTGAAGCCTACCTCTGCTCTGAAATTTTACCTGCATTGAAACTAGCAAGATTATTTTATCAGCCACAGCAGAATACCAATTTTTGAATCTCCACCCTCATGAGATAACATAAAAAAGCTATATAATCTTAACATTTCTCTTGTAAAATAAAACTAAAGCACAGTTTAATAAGTGTTGACCAAAGATCACTTCCTTTTTAAGGAAAATATACTGTTTATTTCACTTGTTTTAAGACTACAAATATTGGAATATAGTTCTCAGTGTTAACAGGCACAGTGTTGCTTTATTTCTATGCAGTTGCTGCTCTGCCATATCAGGAGTAGTGTATTTAACTGTATCGTCAATATTTATGAGGCTGAACTTGAAGACTACTCATATACACCCTTCAGCTTTCCAGCACACGTGGAATTCCACAACTACTAATAGACTGTCGATCTGTTAGGTAGCAGTATCTCATGCCAGATTTGAGAACTCTTATCTGTATTTACTGCTATGGTATTAAATAAACTGGATACAAGATGGATGTATTTTGCATGTTTTTTTCTCTTTACTGTAGTATAAAGATACAGAATTTTTGTTTTGACTGCTGTAAAAGTAAAGCACCATGCAGATCTGGAATTTAAATTAGGAAAAATAAATCTGGGAATCAGACACTTGCACAAAAGAGAGCCACTAGCTGTGTGTCCTGTACCCAGTGAAGAAACCTTTGTGTACCCTTATGCAATGAACAGTAGGGAACTTTTTTTTTTAATTCTTTATCCTTCAAAAATTTGTCAAGGCAGCCACAGAGAAACTAAGTAGTTTTGATTTGCTCATATTAATGGGAATGTGGGCTTACAGATAGGTGGAATCTACAGCATACCCCATGGTTTTCCTTCCCTTTTTGTCCAGATGGGGCAAGTGTTTGAAAACAGAGTGGCTGTCTTCTGACCCATGTGCTAGGTTGTACTCACCTGAAAAACAGCCGAAACAGCTGCTGGATACATTTAGACTTAAGCATACTAAAGCACCCAGTATAGACATACTTTGATGTTCTTAGGATCAGGATTTCACTTGTCTTGTATTGCTGCTAAGTGCAGAATTTGGGAACGAGTTCAGTTTTAAAGCAATAAAGCAGATACATGTTCTCCCTTTCTAAGTGTATTTTATTAGTATTTATTTTTAAAAAGTGAAGGCCTTTTAAGGGAAAATAAGATACTTAAAAGTGATATATATATATATATATATATCTATATATATATAGCTAAGTCTTCTTGGAGTTTTAACACTGAAAGTAAATATGTTACTGGCCCAGCCACATTTGAAGAACCCTGCTTGTGTAACACAGTAAATGGTGTAAGTAGTGTTTGATGCTAACCCTTGACAGTGACATCACCTAGAGCATATTAAACTCATTGAAGAGAGTGGAAACGGAGCTGTTTGTGTGGCCATGGATTGCTTCAGCATATGACCCCATCCTTTCTCACCAAAAGATTTTGAAATTGCCATACAGGAGTTAAAAGTTTTTTGCTGTCATGTCTGGAAGTCCTTGTTTATATGAACTTTCTACTCCAGTAAAATTTTGCCTTGAGAAAGGCACTCAGAATTTATGTTCTTTCTCCCTGTCCTCAACTTGTTTTTACTTTAGAAACAGTGACATAAAAGCAAAGAAATTCTACTGAAGTATAAAGGTAATAGCCCCTGGCTCCCAAATGCTGTCCCTCGGAGAGGTTTCAGGTGGTTTTTGAAGCTCTTTCTCACTATAGTTTTGAAATAAACAATCAAGGCAAACAACCTAGGCTCCTTTTCCTGCTGTCTGTATGCATTAAGTTTTCTTTTTGTAAATTCCACTACAGTCATAGTCACAATAGGGCAGAGGGGAAAACGTCACAGAAAAACTTAAAGCATGATACTCCTGGAAGTAGGAATAATTAAGTGCAATATTGAGTAGACAAACCAAACATGCTGTTTCTTTCTAATATATTTAAATCAGGATAGCAATAAAAAAGGTGGATCAGAAATTTTGATGCAGCGTTATTCTCTGAAGACAAAAAACTATCACAGCTTTTTTAGCCCTTTGCTAGAAGCTGACTTCTGAAGTGATGGAAGGGTGAACATTGAAGTGCAGAGACCTTGTGAGTCATGCAGGGACAGTATTGTTGCTTTCCTTTCTGTCTCTCTGACTACTCTGCTTTGAAGATGGTGCACCAGCAGGTATTCAAAGATGTCTGATCCTGGCATGCCACCCATCCAGAGGGCAGAGAGGGATGGGTGCTGTGGCTATTGGCCTGAATAGATATGATGCTCTCACTGACATCTGGATCCAGATCACCCAATGGTATTTTCAGAGGGTATACTATAAAAAAGAGGATATTATGAATACCACTCAAAGCAAAACTAAAGTGCAGTAAGTATCCAAGAATATGCTAATTTTCCATCAGGATGCCTGCTGGAGCAGGTGCTTTATGTTAATGAAGTTTTCATATAGATCTACTTTGCTTACGGACAGAGGAACAAACTCCAGCTCTGATTAATATGCTTAAAAGGAATCCTTCCCTATCCCCTCTGAACCAAGAAATGCATCTTAAAAAAAAAAAAAAAAAAAAAAAAGACAGACTACTAGAATAATCCAAAGCCATATTAAACTGTACTCTATATTAAAAAAATTAACCCTCTATCTCCTTAGACCTGTTCACAGGAACACAGGCCACTTCACAGCCTTAATCTGCCTATGGGGAATAAAAACAAGGGGAAGCTAAGTTTTGACGTGCTGTTCAGCCAGTCTGAAAAGCAAAGCCTTGTTTACATGTCTAAACGTGGATCTGGGCATCTAACTGTCAACTTCTATTGTTTTAAAGCTTGGGTTTGATTTTTCCATAAAGAAGCAGTGCTGTAAATGCCTAAGTGTTGGTTTGGGTTTTTGTTTTGTTTTTTTTTTTTTTTCCCCCACAATTGGTATTATGTGAGACAGGCAGACTATTCTGGGTAGGAAGTTATTTTTAAATAGATATTACTCTTCTCCAGAAGCAGACTGTAAGTTTCTGTCTTCTTTTAATTGTTTTACAAAGTAAATTGAGTCCCTCTGGTTATATAATTAATATCCACGTTTAGCCCTATATATTTGACATGACTTGAGCCATTTACTGCTACATTCATTTTTTAAGACTGGCGAGGAGTTCAGATATGCATTTAATTCCTGCTAAATTCTGTACAACATCCAGAGTTTTTCTAGTGGAGGCCTCTAACAGTACAGAGAAATAGCTACTTACAAGCAAGGCAAGTGGAGAAGGGAGCTGTTATCACAGAGCTTCAGCCAAACAATCTAAGCAGGGCTGTCCCTTCGTCCACTCCTGTGTTCATATTCAGCAGCAAAATAGCATTGTATCTATGTATATTAATGTATTTTACTACTTGAAATAAATGTAAAGGAAGCTAAAACTAAAACACTTGACCTTAAAATTACAGGCATTGCAGTATCTAGTGAAGATTTCATTTTTAAGACACAACTTTTTACACAGGCTTCACATGAGGTTTTGTTTGGGTTTTTTCGTTTGGTTGGGTTTTTCCGATTGTTTGTTTGTTGTTGGTTGGTTGGTTTGTTTGTTGTTGTTTTTTTCCAAAAGCGATTTCTAACTTTCCAGGAGAGTTCTCTCCCAAAAGAAACTTTATTTTAAAGATGCTGTGAGCTTCTGAAAGCTTAACAGTCGTTTGCTGAGTGCCTGTTAGAAGTAACACGCTGCTTAATGAGGAGAAGCCCGACAGCTTTACTGCTTCCAACAGCCCCCTCTTGTGGCTTTTTGCTCACACTTCATCCTCCTCGGTGAGCAATGAAGCCTTTTAGCTTCTCGGGTTGAATCATCAATGCTAATAAACCCAAGAACGCTGATCACAAAGTACAGGTAAAATCCCTCCAGCCTTCCAATACCATAAAATTCTGCTATCGATTATGCTGAGCTTAGCAATATGATATTTCATAAGCTTCATTCGACAGCATCCTTACTAATAAAACTGCAAATGTCGATAAGGTTTTTCTCACGACTGACACTTTTGAGCTCAGCTGTTTCACTGAAATAAAGTTCAGCTATCTCGTCTAAGATGCTGAAAGGTTTCCTGTTAACATACCGCCCATGCATATTAATATCCTCAAGAAGGGCATGAAAGCTTCTATCATTTTTCCAGCTACACCTATTGGTCTGATAAGAGGTCTGACCTCCACCTTGCCTTTCTACAGTTTCCTGAAGGTATTATCCCCAGAAATGACAGAGAGACATGGCAGGAGCTAAGGCAGAGTTAGGCAAGAGTGTTTCTTCTCTTATCTGTAAGCTGTAGTACAGATATGATACTTCAATCTTTAAGTATGCAAGGTCACTTACTGGGAAGACTCCAAGGTTGGATTACCTGGCCCAGTACGGAAGTTTGCTTCTAGATTCCCATCTCAGCTAGATGCCTTTCTACCAAACAATTTACCTCATCAAGGCGATGCACCAAATAATGTAGATGAATCACTCAGTCTCCAAAAGGCATTAAACTCTCCACCAACTATAAAGGTAATTAGGGTTAGGTATCTCTCAAGTTAGGTGAGATGAATCATGTTCCAAATATGGCCCCTTGGGGTATTTGCTAGCTATTTTGCCCTTCATCTTCAGCACTACAGAGCCCATCTGTCCTACTTTACAAAGTCATTTGAGTCCCTATGGTTAGACAATTAATATCTAACTTGAGATGACCATTGGGTCATTTGATGCTAAATTTATTTCATATGATTGATCAGGGTGCTGGATTATATTTGATCCCTGATGAACTTCATGAAACATCCTGAAATCTAACTGTCACATGTTAAATTAATGGATGAACTGGAAATGTAGCTGAGGATAAATTAACTGAGTACTGCCACAGATTGCTTCCAAGCTAGCTCAGTAAAAACTAACTAGCCCACCTTGATGGTTCACTGCAGTCTGCAGCAAAGGCATATTTTAAATGCTTGCCTATGGTACTTCCAAAAGCCTAAGGTGAAGCAGAAAGTTAAATCAGGTCTCCCGACTCCCAAGCTAGTGATTCAACTAATCGGTTGTTTTCTGGCTTTGAAAATATGTTTCAACAATCTGTGTGTGAGAAAAGATATTAGCTCACTTTGGGACTTATTCTAATATAAATTACCAGCCATATGGAATGAACCAAGCTCATTTCCATTGCAAATGGACAGCATAAAATCTCTGCATCGCTTATGCCTTGATTTGTTGTTGAATGTCCTCTTCTTTGCAACCAAAGGATTTTGCACCAAGTGGCTCTAATCTTGGAATATTTCATTAAACAGGAAGTTTAACTCAACAACAAAGTTGTTCAGTGAGCTATTTCCTTTAGACCACTGTTGTGAGGCCACAGTTAAACCAGTTTCTCATCACATCTCCAGCTATCACAGCACTACAGTATCCAAAGAATGGTATGAGAAGCCCAGAAGTATGCATGCTGCTGAGGGACCAGATGGCTGCTGCTATAGAGTATATGCAGCAGCTGATCTGGGTGACTACATTATATTCAGAGACT